CTCCTGCGTGAAATATCGAGGAAGATGCCAGCCTTGAAGGATTGGGTAGACCAACAACAGCCGGATGATTCCGCACAAACTAAGCTTAAGGATACCGTCCTACGAACCCCTGCTGGTGGGCGCACTGCGAACAAACCCGTCCCTAAGTCAACGAAGAGCTCTATGGATCAAAGGGCGAGCGGGCCGCCACCTAGGAGAGAACGGCGACGTGCAGCAGACGACCGGGAGAAGGAAGTTCCCTTGATGACTGGTCCGAACCTCACGGACGCTCCGCAGGATCAAGGACGTCGCCCAGGGGGTAGTCCTCCGCCTGCGCCTCCCGTGGTTAATGAACAGGAGGCTATTCCCAATATGCCCGGACCGGAAGCCAATGTCCCGATGCCGATGATGACTCCAATTCAGAATTTCGAAGGTAATCCTCAGGAACGCCATGTAGCGTCGCCCGGCACCGATTCTATCGTTATACATGTCCCCCCAAACGACAAACGCAACGACGAGGCCATACTTGCGGCACAAATACGGGAGAGGCTAGATGCCGAGTATAATGAGAAGATCGAGGCCGAGAAGGAATACAAGCGCGAGCAACAAAAGGAAAGAATGGCGATATTGGAGGGGCTCAAGCAAGGTAAACCGCTGTAGACCCCCCTTCTATGCAGTTCATTTGCTGATACTGCGCCCGTCCAGAAGTCGAGGCAATCAGGAGGGAGGCCGTGGAACAAGCCGAGAAGAAAGCGCGAGTGGAGGCTGAGGAGCGTACCGAGCAGCTGAGATGGGAGAGGCAGATGGAAGAGAAGAAGTTGAAAAAGGATATGGCCGTGGCGAGCGCCGAGGCTACGGCCGAGATGGAAGCCAAGTTCGAAGCCGCGCGGAAGGCAGCCATCCGGGAAGCGGAGGCCAAGATGAAAGAAGAATTTGAAATGCGAAAGAAGGTGAGCCCTCTCTCTCGCTATTCTTGATACAGACTCCCTTTGCCTTTTATATAATGAGTCAAACCTGGCTGCTACCTGGAACCGTTATAACGTTCCGGCTCAAATCACTGACTGCCTGTCAAGAAGGAGCATGAAGCGCGGATGCGCGCCGAGCTCGAAAGGGCGAGGAGGATGGAGGCCGAGAAACGGGCTATCGAGGAGGCTAAAGCCGCCGAGAGGCTGAAGGAAGAACTGCAGCGCAAGGCTGAAGCGGAGAAGCGAGAGAGGCGGGAGGCCGAGACGAGGGCATTCCAAGCCGCGCTAAAGCAGGCCGAGGAGGAAGAATACAGGCAGCAGATACGGCAATGGGCCGCCGAGAGGGCCGAGAAGGACTTGGAGAACCAGAGGCAGATCCATTTCAAGGACGCCGTGGGGCGCAAGTTCGCCATCCCGTTCAGCCAAGGGTGTAACTGGCAGGTGAGACAATATTAGAGGCGCCGACCACTATCTTAGTAGCCGATGACTGATGCTGGCGATAGGGTATGCAAGAGCTCATCGAATCCGCATTTTTGCATGTCGACGTCCTCGGGCTCCAGGTCAAAGAGGGCCGATACGACCTCGTCGGCCCGGACGGAGCCATCATCCTGCCACAAACCTGGAACGAGACCATTCAGCCCGGCTGGAACATCTCGATGCAAATGTGGCCGATACCGGAGGCCCCGCAGCCATTCGTGCCGCAGCCCGTGCCGGTCGGGCCACCGCCGCCGCCTCCTGGGTTTTCACGTCCGGACGTGAACGAAGAGGTCGTGGTCGAGGAGGTCGTCGAGAACGACTACGAGCGCAGCAGTTCGGCGGGGGAATCGGGGGACAAAGCATCATTGGACTACACCCTGTCGAGTACCGATTCAGTGAGGCCATTGCGTTTCGGAAGGATAAGGACCGCCTTCTCCGGATTGAAGACGTACTTTTCCCGCAAACGCCGTCGCGCCTCATTCTCTTCTACCAGTTCGTATATGTTGTCATCGCGGGCGACAATAGACGATTAAGGTATATCTCCCGCGGGCAGTACACGGTGCAAATAAAGAGCCATTGATATTTACCCTACTAGTTTATTCTGAAGCAATAGGATGGGAATGGTGACGCTGTACAGAAGGCCGAGTCCGCTCTCTGGGGGATTCCGTGAGGGGTACTCTAATATGATCCTCCTCGGGACCAGAAGGGTTCCCAAAGATAGCATCCGAAGAGGGGGTTTGACGTGTTCTGACTTTGTGATTAATATACACGGGGCCGACAGACGCATTATTTACAATATATGGTAGCTGTAGCAATAGATCGACTACACCAGCTAGGGGCGATTGAGGAGAGCATACTCCTGGCTACTACCGAGCTCGGTTTGAGGTCAGGAATCCTCGCTCGTTCTCGAACATTGATATCCTTAGTTGGGCTGGGCAAGTTTAATGACTTGGGGGGGGGACGAGCGGAACGAGGACAGCAAGATTGACTATTTATACTCCATCTGTTCGTTCTGGAAGGACTATATTCCTTTCCTGGTGTTTTTAGGCACGAAATAAAGATTCAGGCGAAGCAGTAGTTTTGTCAACCATCGGCACATAATCATGACGAGAGATGAGATCCCGACGTTGACATTTGTGTAGGTGTGAAGTATGTCGTATCATATGCATAAGGAATTTATGTACTTTGCGGCGCCTCGCATGAGAGTACTAACTGATCATATCTTCTGTTCTCATACCACCACATCCCCGCCTCTATAATCGACGCCTCTATTAATTGAGCAAGTCTAATATGAAATTTACCTCCCCAATGACTTCTTCATTCCGAGTTTGGTATTCGCTCAGGGTCCGAATGGTATTCCTCGTCTGCTGGGGGAGCTTGCGGCAGCCTTATGAATACGGCCATACAGACCATTATGACGCAAAGGCCAGATACGCCGAAGTATGGGAGCCCAATCCAGATCCCACCAAGTCGCATGCCGAGTGAGAATAATGCCGCAAGTGCCGGTGAGATCCACAAGTCACTCGCAATGGCAGAGAGGCCCAGGATGGTGAATAACCGGGATCGCTGTTCGACCGTCACATGCAACGTCGCTATACTTTTGAGAAAGCCCTCGCCCGACACGCCGAATGCGAGAATGGCAAGACCGAAAACGAAGCCAGGCAGGGAGCCGGACAGACCAAGAATAAAAGTGCCTATCAGAGAAGCGACGTATGACCCCCTAGCGAGGAACAGGTCTCGCTGCCTATTGTCGTCGAAGCGAATGAAAGCCGGCGCTCCGGGCTTTAAAATTTCTGAAGCGATCCACGGCATGATGAAGAATGAAACAGTGATGAAGGCAACACCGTAGGCAGATTGGATACTTAGATGCTCGAGTTAGTTGCTGTTATTTCAGGCGGGGGGGAATACATAGTTATACGACGTAAAGGGCACTGTTATTGAGGAGGAACCCCAGGGGAAAGACGGTTACTCACAAGCCTGTGTCTGCCAGAGGAATGTTGTAGCGCTTTGAAGCGAACTGGCTGAGGAACTGAAACGTGCATATCACGAGCGAGAGCTGCAGCATAGTAATAAGCAGGACTATGATCATCGAGCGGGACCCGAAAGCGCTAGCCGATTTCCTCAGTTCGCGTAAGCTTTGCACCAGGTGTGCCTTAAAGGTGCTGCTATCCCGTTCGTCACCCTCGGCTCGTTGGTCATGCTTCAGTGTCTCCGGAACTATGAAGATGGCGAACGCCGGAAGCAAGAGTAACAGGAAACCAAGAAATATCGACGGCCAGGGACCAGCCGAAGCCATCAAGAGCGCGGCCAGAGCAGGCGAGATCAGATTGCCTACCATGCTCGCACCGTGGAGTCGCATGAAGCTGGTGGATCTGTGTGCCCGGCTGTCAGTAATATCCCTTGAGATGGTAGCAGAGAAACCGCACCTTTCAGACTCTGGCACTACGTCAACGGCTATACTCATGATAGTAGCGGCAAGAATTGGATTGCCGCCACCTAGCAAAAGTGAGATGGGACTCAACCACATCAAGCGTGGGGAGAGCACTTGGTCGAACCATCCGACGACTATAATGGAGAGTGCGGACAGGGACATGCCGGTCATGCCTATTGCAAAAACCAAACGTCTCCCGATTCTAGTAGATGTTAGCTCACAGGACATTAATACGACACCTTTCAGAATGGGTCGTTATGCGTCCAGACTCACTTGTCGGCGGCGATACCCCACGGCAGCGCGGCCACAAGGCTGACGGCGGCGTTGAGCGAGTTCTGGACGGCGAAGAGATAAGCGAGCTCGGACTGGATGGCGTCGACCTTGCACATCTCCTCGTCAATAGGCTGGCCGTCGCCGCGGACCCGGCCGTAGTACCGGCGGCACAAGATGTCCTCGAAGATCCGGGTCGCGGACATGTTGTGGAACCCGCCCGACGACGACGCGACGAAGAGGACGGCGCACAGGATGGCCACGATGCCGCCGTGCCGCCGGACCTTGGGCGCCGCGCTCCCGAGCGAGGCGATGGACGAGGCCCTCGCCCGACGTCCCCTCCCGTGGCGTTGAGCTCGGCTCGGGGCCTCGGCCTCGGGGATGAAGGGCGTCTCCTCGGTGCTCTCAGCGATCTCATCCTCGCGATACCGCTCGTCGGGCGGCGACTGTGTGGCCATTCTAGCGGATGTTTAGCGACCGATATTCCGTCACTGCAAACAACCTCTGTCCCTGTGAGCGGGCGCCGGTATGGGATGTGCAACTGGGGAGAACTTCGACTAGTCTCGGCGACCCTGGCCAAATCGTCAGCACTTGTTTAAGTGATGATCCTATTTGCCAAGAGGTCGCGGGTTGGGGATCCCGTCTTTCTCTTGTGGAAATCATTAGCCAATGGGGTCATCGTTCAAGTCACTGGTGAGGCGAAAGAAGCGTGGCAGTAGATAAGTACTTAGCATCTTTGATTTGTCCTTTTTCAAAAATAGATAAATAAATAAACAAACAATAATAAAAAGGCATACCCTCTGCCCAAAGAGAAGAGCGGAGAAAAAAGACAAAAAATTGGTTGCTACTCCTAGTATCCTAGGAGGCATCAGGAATTGAGCCCAATGCGGGGGTCGAACCTATTATCAGAGTTAGAATACCGAATTTTTTGGTGTTTCCACAGGAGAATGCTACTCACCCGCAACCTTGAGATTAAGAGTCTCACGCTCTACCGATTGAGCTAACCGGGCGGTTGGTGACGTTGGGGTGTTTAGGTAGAGTGTTATACTGAAAAAACACAATCCGACCACCCCACTGCCGGGACTTAGTCTAGTATCAAAATTTGGTGCCAACACTTCAACATCAATCTACGTTCCATATCTTATTTGCCGTGGTGGGATTCGCGAGGTCAAGATAAAAGCTTATCAGGTACCTATATGCATATCACAAGTACGCACGGCAGAGCGCTAAGCTGCGGCGCTCTCTAGATAAGTCCGCTATTTATAGTGGCTTAACACTCACTATCGCCGTTTACCTGCAATCTTGCACTAGGCACTGGGTACATTTAAATCTTAGCGATACCACACTGCTCACAAGTACGTGGCTAAAATGTTTTAGTGAGCACCACGGAGTACTACTAAAGGTTATAAGTACATGCAAGTAGTTGTACGATAATCGAGCCGGTGGTCCAGACTGTTGTACAAATGGGGTTAAGAGTAGACGCGCTGCATTAGGCACTTACCTAACTAGGTAGGTAGGTACCGTTCAACGAGTCCCCTAGGAGGATTAACCGCGTCCGTTTCTATCTCGCTCTAGCAACAGTTGATATAAATAAAAGTGTTGGGCGCCACATATAGGACACCATCTACTCCTTCAACACGGCTTGCACAAAAGATTGATTGGAATGTTGTATTGGGGGGAGGCTGAGCCCAACTCGTGGTCTAGAAGGTAGGTAGTCTGAAAGGAGTAGGCCGAAGGGCAGGAGAGAAGGTCGAACGCCTCGGAAGGCCGAACACCACGGGCCGCAGGCCCCCAAGGCCGCAGGCCTAACGAGAGAAGACTAAGGACCTAATAGGCCACGAGGAGCTGCCCAACGCGAAGCCCCCCAACCGCATAGGGATGCAGGAGGTAGATAGGCCTAAGGAAGGGAATCTAATCTGTACTCCACGTGAGTACTATTAAAAAACCTCCCGACCACCACACCAAAAACCACCCCCTTCGTGGGAGGTGGAAAGTGTGAGGTGACGGAGGAAAAACCCTTTATGCGAGGGAACAGCAAAGAGGGCCCTTTTAAGGGGGGTGCCGAGCGTGAGCGCTAGCCTAGTTGGGTCGTAGAACACACCATCTTATCGTGGTGCTCGTCCCTGGAGGATTTACTCTCTTCCGCTACAAGCAACCTGGCGAGAACAAGATCCACGTGTGTCATGTTTAAATTGGAAGAACTGGTAAACATGGGTATCTGTGGCTGAGGATCACCGCCCATCTATATTCTTTATACCTTAAGTACGATAGGGAGATGTCGAAATAGGGGGCCGGTAATTCCTGCCTCTCTCCATCGTACTTACTACCGTTCCCTAATGTTTAATCTACCTAATACTGATGTACCCTTGAACTACCTACTCAAGAATCAATCGGCCGATGGCTGGGGGGTTGTGTAAGCGTTTTGATTCTTGATGAAGATATAAGTCGGTTGGTTGTAGCTATGAGCGCGCGACATTATTATTGTGCAAAGGCGCTTAGGTATGCCTGCTAGACGTGCATGATAGCCACCCCCTGATTTACTATCTATACCGCTCACCACACAGCGCAATCACTCCACCAGTTCAAAAGTCAACTACCCACAGCGGTTGTAACATGTAGAGATGGTTATTGGCATGTCAATAAAAGATTTTTTTTTTTTTGATATTTAAAGCTACCTTTCTATCAAAAGCGGCATTGGCTTAACCCTAGAATCGACCCCTATTATTCACGTGCTAAAAGGATCCCCGGATATCTAGGAGCATACCCGCCCTCATTCCCTGTCGTAGTCGGAATCATCGCCTTCCACCTCTACATCCAGGATGCCTTCGACGGGTGTCGTCTTCTTCAGATAATCGCGGAAATCGCCGCTCAGGTTGGCCATGGCCGCGACGTGCTTCTGGCCCACCGTCACCACCTTGCTGCCCTCGTCGCGCGCCTCGGACTCGGCCATGGCCAGCATCATCTGCATGGCGTTGCGTATCTCGCGGCCGTTCCACCTGAGCGACCGGATCCGGCCGCCCGCATCGTCGCCGCCGCCACCACCAGCAGCGGTGCCGCCCAGCAGCATGTTGCGCGCCGCCGTCGAGATGCGGATCGTGCCTTTGGACTCGCGGTCCAGGCGCTCGAACGTGTTGGCCCAGATGCGCTCACGGTCCTCGTCGCGCAGGTTCTTGTAGTGGAGCGCCACGTGGATGCGGCTCAGGAAGGCGCTGTCGAAGGCCTGCACGCGGTTGGTCGTGAGGAAGAGCACGCCGCGGTAGTACTCGAGCGCGCGCAGGAAGGTGCTCACGAGCCCGTTGCGGGTGATGTCCTTGGAGCGGCGGCGCTCGAGGTACACGTCGGCCTCGTCGAGCAGCAGCAGCGCGCCGTAGCGCTGTCCGAGATCCAGGAAGTATTTCAGGGACGCCTCGACGCGATACGTGTCGACGCCGAGATCGCCGCTGGTGATGGCGATGAGGGGCCGGTTCGTGGCCTCGGCGATGCACTCGGCCGTGGACGTCTTGCCGACGCCGGGCGTGCCGTGCAGCAGGAAGATGCGTCCTTCGCCCTTGTTCTGCACGAAGTCGGTGTTCCATGGGAGAAGGGACCCCTCGGCCTCAGTGGCGAGTTTGCCAATCAGGGCCTTGACGGTCATTTTAATCTCATCATCAAGCACCAAGTCCTTGAAGGCGTCTCTGTTAGCCTTGATGGGCTTCAGAAAGGCAAGATTTACACAAGCCCAACGACGAGTGCTCGGGATGAAACTAGGCATGACTTTGGTCAGGACATGATAGAACACTTCACTTCTCGGAGGAGTGTCGCAGGTCGCATCCAAATCCTTGAACTCAGCATAGGGGCCATTATTGCCTTGCGTGGGATCACGGCTTTTATCGCAGGCATCGCAGCCACAGCGAGGTAGACTGCGTGGGAGGTGGTCCAATGGTGGCGGCGAAGGCGAGCCCTGCCGCGACGAGTTAACACTGGCTCGTAAGCTGCCACTCATGTCTGGGGATGAGATGTAGAAGCGGTCGAAACCGACAGGGTCGCAAATGACGTGTCCACGCATGTTCCCTGTAGGCCCGCCATACTGGCTATTTCCAGAGAAGGGATTCACTAGCTGCCCATCATATTCCATGTAGGTTGGTTTCTTGAGAAGCTCCCAGTATAGCCGGCCCTCTTCTATGCACTTTTCTCTCATAGTCTTGCCCCCTTGGGCAGCCTTGTCCTCGACCCAGAACGCCTCCGGGATGATCGGCAGGCTGCTAATAGTCTGCTCACCGGTCCAGGGCTGGACCCGGAAGGTTTCCATGTAGCGCTTGACGACGACGCCATTGCTTTCCAAGTACCAGCAGTCAACCTTATACGCATTGAAAGTGTTGCCCGATCCGGCTCGGACGGCGCTGATCACATATGGGGTCCAGAGGCCAAAGCGCTTGGCATAGATAATCTGCCCAGGCTTCAACACTAGCCAGAAAAGATCGAAGGTGGCAGAGGGGTGTTCCAGCTTGTGCAGGACCTCCTCCCTGATCAGAGCCTCACCCATATTCTCTTCGAGAAACTTGAGCAAGACATCGATGTGGCGAGCCGTGGTTTCGGCATACTCTGGGCTATGAGTTTGGGGTTGGTTGTCGCGATAGGAAGCCAGCTCGCCGCGGTGGAGATAAAGAAGGCGGTAGGGGGCCGGGATGCTGATGGGCGAGTCCTGGAGGTTCACACGTGGGTAGTAACTGATGACGGCCTGGAGCGCATGAATGAGGTACTGTGAATGTATATTCATAGTAATGGTCGGTTTGCCGGGCGATGTAGCGGCAGCCTGGTCCTCATCCTCATACTCGTTGTCCTCGTAACGGTATTCATTCAGGTCAAAAGCAGCCGTGATAGGCCGCTCATTGGGATTACCGTACTCCCGCCGTCTATAGTCGTTGGCGGGCTTGCTGACCTTGTAGCTGATCTCGAGGACGGGTTTGTCGTCATCACCTTCGCCATACTCGCCGACCTGAGCATAATTGGTTCCATCTCTTTCCCTAAACTGCGGGATATGCTTGAACGGCGTGAGGCTCTGACGGCATTCCACAACTGCGTCGTTGAAGCCGATGTACTTCAGGACGTGAAGAACCGGCGGGACCTTGCCGTCCACCCTGAGGATGCCATCGGACTCTCCAGCAGTCTCTCCAGCAGTCTCTTCTTCTCCAGCCTCCCCAGCAGGCTTGGTAGTCTTAGTGTTGACCTCCTCGAAACTGTCAACGGAGTTGGCACGTTCAAGGGTTGACCTGGGATTTCCCAACATGGTGAAAAAGATGAGCCGAGGCAACGTGGCGGAGTCAAGGCCGTACAGGTTAATACTTCAGAGGCAGGAGAATTCCGGCCCCAGGTTAGGTTAGTTGATGATGGGGAATGAAAATGAGGATGGAGAAGAGATGGAAGCAAATGCCACGATTTGGAGATGGATGTGAGGTTATTTGTATTTGTTCACCCGTCTTATTGAAGCTGCCAGCTGAGTCACGGCCGCCGAGTAAGGCATCCATCCTCCCATGCTCCTCCCATGCTCCTTCCATGCTTCTCCCATGCTCCTTCCATGCTTGCTTTCTATGGCCTCGATACCGATATGGAGGCGGTCAGCCAGCTCGTCGACCAGCTTCATGCTCGGTGCCCGACGATGAGTCGGCCTATCAGCGATGTGCGTATTACGGAAGGCAGACACAAGGCAGACACAAGGCGGAAGCATGGCCGTTCCCTTGCTCCCTGCAGTTCTGCCTAGAATAGCCCAAACTAACGGTGAATCTAGGCTGCAATTGGCGTGTTGTGGCCTGTGCAGAACGCCACGAGCAATGCGTAGGGGACTGGTGAGGTACGCTGTCAGATAAGTCACATCATGTCCGCTGCCGACAGGTTGGGGTAGGAGTGGTACCCCAGCCAAGCCGAACACCCGACCGCCGTCATATATACGAAGTGAGCCAACAATACACTATCTAGCCCTATTTGGCCACGTCCCTTAGGTACCTATGGGTGTACCGGGCAGGTCAAAATCAAC